CACTATACATTGAATTAAGCATTTTTGGGGATACATCGATCTGCATATTTCTATGATTGCACTCAGTAAAAAAAAAAGTTTAGTTATCCTAAAGAGGTACTACTCATGGCTGGACTGCTTGTGTGGAAAATGCCAATAAATTAGCAATTTGAGTAAACCTGAAACACCTAATAATTTTTTTTGTAGATCCACTTGCCTTGATTTACAAACTGGGTGTCAGTGTTCGGATGGTAGGATTATGGGGCTAGTAACTATTTAAAGGAGTAATCTAAAACTACTAGAACTTAACTCTTTCCTTGACCTGCTCATTTGCAATTCCCACACATGGCACCATTAGCCAAGTTGAATGCTAATACATCTGGAAAGCAATGGACTAGAATAAGAAATGTTAAAATATATCCATAACTTAAAAGTCATTACAAATTTAAAGGAGAGAGTTGAATGTATTAATTTTATTATTTATTAAGGTTTATAAGTCATAGATTGGGATTGTTAGATCAGTTCCAGAAAGGCAAAGTGAATATAAGCATGGGTCTAAACTCATCATGTACCTTAAATTAATACAGAAGTATGACAATAAGGATACACTTATGCTTGGGAAAAACAGTGTTAAGAAGTTTCTCCAGGAAAACAGTCATTATGCATTCATATTTGGAGTAGTATGTAAACATTGAATGTAATGTATCCTTACCTCATATCTTTCTTTAGAAGGTGATCTATGAAGTCTTTAGCATCATCTGATATCTCATCAAAAGCTTCGTCATCAAAATCCCAAGTGGCTGAGGTAACATTAGCTAAGGTTTCATTGTCACTATCACCCATGAAAGGGGAAAGACCACTGACCCTGAAATTTAGGATGAAAACACTGAATGGTTTCATTTATTTGAGAGTGTTGATATCTTCTGAAGGAAAGGAATAAATTATTTTTAATAGCATGCATGGTTTGCCAATATGTACATTTAACGATTACATACAAGAAGGCACCACTTTAGAAATATGTTCTCAAAAGAGTTGAACAGCCTGATAAACCAAAGATTTACTATACTAGAAGCAGAACTGATCTCATTCTCAATAAGATCTCAATACTCTAAGCCAAAGAAAAATAAGGTGGATTTGTTTTTTGAAATGCATAGAAGCAGTAAACAAAATAAGCAGTTCCATTATTTAGTCATTAGAGGGAGCCAGTAAGCTAGAGGTCTTTTAAAAAGAAAATCAGTAATTTTTGTTTTGTTTTAAAGGAAATGCAGTATATTAGTGGAAGGAAGCTTCTGATCCAAATGCAAAATAAAAATAATTGGACAATAGAATAAATGCATGCCATTACAAGCAACCCTTGACCGAACAATGTCTATATAATACTGAAGTTTATTTCATTTGCACAATAGTAGTTGTGCTACTCTTAAATAATATACAATACAAATGTAATTCATCAAATTATTGGTGAAAAAACTGTGTGTACTCTAGAATTAAATGTGAAAATTTTATTGCATGGTTTGAAAAAAACTAATTTCAGTTCTACAGTGTACAGTTAACACAAGCTATTAAACAAAAAGTACTGTAGATTTTACTATTGTGCTTTAGGAAACCTATTGAAACAATTAGGCTGGCATTGTAGATGAATTATATAGCGACAAACTGTCTCTCCAACATCAGAAACACAATTGATCAAGAAATCATTGGAAAAGGTATTTTCTGTAAAAAGTGTAAAATTTCCCATCCTCTCTCTCCTTCATTGATTTCTCTTTGACACTGAGCAGACTTTTGGATCTCCAAGTTTGTATTTGTATTTATTAGTTTGTCAAACANTTTTTTCTTAAAGACATTTTGCTTCAGTTCTGAACTGAAGAAGTTTCTTGGATGAGAATTGAAACATCTTCAAGGAAAAACAAAGAAAGGGTGTTGGCTTTTGGAAAAAGCACTTTTGGGGCAAGTAAACAGAGTGATCAAGAACATATGAAACAAATTCTTTGACATTCATGGGATAGCCATGACCTGGATGACTGAGAATCTCCAGAGACATATGTTACCTGCCATTTTCTTCTAGCCATGTATTTTTTCATCCTATCTTTGGAGAGTTTTTTGGCTTCCATGTGTTTGGTGTCTTTTTGCAGCCATGGATGCTGTAAGCACTGAGTACAATTCAAGCGGTCCCTATGAGTTAATAGAGATCATAACTATTATACTTACATAAATACAACTTAGATTTTATTTAGCTCTATATTTAATAATATGGCTCATTAGACTACTGTACAGTTTTATTCAGTTGCATGGTTTGCTTGAATATTGAACATGGGAATTAATGAATTAATAAAAAGTAAAGGAAATGGATGCAATATATTTTGGGTTCAATTTTTTTGGTCTAATCTTTCATATGTTTATGTTATATTTTAATTAAGTTTTTAATAATTGACTATTCTTTTGAAGTGTAAGTTTAAAACAATTCCCAATGTCTCAGATGTTTTATTTCCAGCGTTATATTAGGAAGACTAGAAAATTGTTTGCTTTCTTGAGGGTCAATCTTTTTAAATTGGAATATGGCCACCCAGAGCTATAAATACTTACTTTTACCATACACTTCCAGATGGCACAAGGCAGCTAACTCACAGCAGGACAGAGAACTACCTTAAATAAGCCATGAGATAAGTTCCAGTGATATGTCAATAAATAAATTAATTTTAATTCATGGAGTGATAAAAGATTTATGTCCTTGGAATATTATGACAAAAAAATCTAAATTTAATTCTTAAAAACCTCTGCTGTACTCAGATTTATTTCATTACTTTTTGATATCTTTGGAGCAATAAAAATGACAACTATACCATATTTTTCTTGGAAACAGTCTACATTTGTTACCTATTAACATATTATTTGTCACTATGTTTTCTCATAACTGCTGTGCAGAAGGCAGAGAAATCACGTAATAAGAAAAATATATATTATTCATTCTGAAAAAAAATGTATGTTATAGATTACATTATATTTTTTATTCCTGAAGCATGGGTGGGAAATGCAACATTTAGCATCTGTATGCAGCTTCCAGATTTGTTTTTGTGGACCACACAGATTCTCTGGATAATGCTGCCAAAATTAAAGTGGCATTCATTTTGAAGCTATTTTGTAATCTCCACAAATAAACAACAACAACATGGGGGAAAGGTGCGAGTTTCAAACATGCACACAATTGTCCCTAGAGGATTTGAATTTTTTTTAAATTTAAAGCAATCAATGCAAAGTGCACATAGAATATCATTTCATATTATCAGAGAATTGTCAAAGTCCTTGGATGTCTTCTAGTTCAACTCCCTTCTAAATTAAACATATTAGACCTCATTTCATATGTAGTTATATTAAGAATAACATAATTACACTATACATTGAATTAAGCATTTTTGGGGATACATCGATCTGCATATTTCTATGATTGCACTCAGTAAAAAAAAAAGTTTAGTTATCCTAAAGAGGTACTACTCATGGCTGGACTGCTTGTGTGGAAAATGCCA